AAGCCTGCACCAGTCCGATGGCACATGCAATTGTCTATTTGGGTGCGCAAGCTTCATGTCGCTGCGACCCCTGGCTATCGAGATATGGCTCCGGGAAACGAGGCGTGTCGGGCCGTCGGGTGGTCGTCGTCCGTGTTAAATGTATTGGGATTTTTGCGCTTACTTGCGCTTTTTTCGTTTACCATGCGCTCACTTTTGCGAAATGCAGAATTTTGACGTGACTTAGAAGCGTTCTGCCAGCAAGCCTTAGTCGTGTAACAAGCCTTAGTCGTGGCTTGCAGGTGATCCCAGTGAAGTGGCGGACACACACACACACACACACACACACCACACACACACCACACACACACACACACACACACACACACACACACACACACACACACACACACACACACACACACACACACACACCACACACACACACACACACACACACACACACACACACCCACACACACACACACACACACACACCCCCCCACACACACACACACCTTGTTTCTGAAATATAATAGCATCAAGATAGAAAGTAGCAGCAGCGCAGGCAGTGGGAGGAGGATACACTGGGCACGTGCTCCCCCCGCCCCCCTCCTTAGGTTCCGAGGGCTCGAAGGGCAACTCGGAACCTGCGATTAAGGGCCCGAAAAGCCAGCCAGTCCTCTCATTCAGAGGGGTCCCCGCGCTGTCAAGGGGCCTAAATCGGCCAGAGGTAATGTTTCGAGGAGGCCCGGAGAATCTAAAGGGCCCACACGGTCCAGCAATCAAGGTGCCGGTTGGAGGGCCTAAGGGCATGAAGGGCTGGTCGGAGTCTTATTTAGGGGCCCAGACCTGCGAAGAAGGACCCTCAAATGACGGTCAGAGGGCCCTTTGCGCTGATCGTGGACCTCTGAGTCGATATGGGCCTATATGTCGGTCATGTACCACTGTACCACATAACCGACTTCCTGTCGGTAGGGGCCTGAGGACCCCCTTCCCAATCAGCTATGAAGCCAGTGATTTACACTGATCGAGGGCCTTGTGTCTGTTTGGGGCCCACAGCGCCTAACGAAGGGCACTGTGCTCGCAAGGGCCCGAGCCGACCAAGAGAAGTGTTAAATGAGGCCTGAAGAGGGACCCGGGACTCCCACCCGAACCGACTATCAAAGGCCCATTTAGAGAGCATAAGGGCCTTACTGGCTGTAGGTCACATAAAGAACCGCAGCCCGTAGGGTCGTGACCTGAAATATCAGTCGGAGATCCTTCTGCACCGTTTTAGGAACCCCTGAAACAATGCGTCTAAGTGGGTAAGAGACTACGAACACCAAACAGTCGGCTCCATGTCCGTCTGAGCCCTTGAGACCCACTTCCCAAGCAGAAACGAAGCCGGGGTCCGCGATTTGCAATGTTCGGTGTCTCTGACACAATGAGAGGCTCCTGTGTCGGTTAGGGGCCACAGTGCCGAGCAAGGGTCGGAGCGGTGGTTGAGGGGGTCCGAAGAGGGGCCGTAGGGCCTCTCGAGATCAAAGATAAGGGGCCCGATGGGATAGCTGAAGGGTCCGAAGGGCTGGCTGCAGGCCACCTTAAGGACCCTCGCCCATAGGGCCATGATCTCAAATTCTAGTAAGATGATCTCTTGCACCGATGAGAGCCCCTGAGACGGAGCGTTCCTCTATTTCGCCCAGAGATCACGAATAACGAACAGTCATCTCCGTGTAGGTCTAAGGTCTGGGGGATATTTCCCAAGCAGGGACAAGGCCTGTCCCGCGATTTACATTGGGCGGGCTCCTGTATCGTTTAGGGTCACACAGTGCCTAACAGGGCATTTTGTGTCAACAAGTGGCCTTGACTAGATCAGGGGAAGATTTGCTCAACGGGGACGGAGCCCGAATGGCAGAGGGCCTCTTGCGTTGGTAGGGTCTTTTGAAAATTGAAGGAAACACAAGAACTTGAGATGAGTGCTCACATTGAGGCAATGGAAGAATCCTTTGCCAGTCAGGGTCCCTACTGCCGAACGGTGGGCTCTTCAACCTTTTTGCAGCACGGACCCGTTAAGCCCAACTGGAGTCTATGAGCCAAGTATTTAAGCGTCTGCGGTAAGCAGGAGTGTTATTGCGTTAATGACGGCTCATGCGCCGATCCGGGGTCAACTGCGCGGGTCAGAAGGCATCCCTCATCAGCGAGCAGACCAATATGATATGATGCATCCTTCTAAGGGCCTACGGATCGGCCACGGGATGCCTTCCTATGTCGCCAGAATGACGGCCGGAAAACACATTGCGGTGTGACAGAATGGTCGTTCAGCTCTTGATCAGGAACAAGAATGTGTCCGTAGTGCTGTACTCAAGGGGCCCCTTCACCGGAAATAAGGGGTCTCATTAGTGCTGAATGGCGTGAGCCGAAATGGGCTCAAAACACACAAAGCCATGCTAATTTTTCCTGAAAACGTTCATTATTTTGCAGAATCGACTAGCGAAACAATTATCATCAAAATGTTTGAACCTGCGTGCCGGGTGTCCGATTATGTAGTGCTTCACGCGCCTGCTTAGGGTCATATCCGACGATTTTTTTTGGGTGGGAAGGAGCCCTCTCATCTTCAGGGGTCCTCTGTCAATCCTGTGTCCCCCCTTGCCAGGGCTCTGCCTGTGCTCCTGGACACTAGATATACTTTTAAAAGAAAAAGACTGCTCTGTACAACACAATTTCTCTCTTTAGTAAATATGGTCGCCAATATGCCATGGCTTTGTTCCTTATGGAATGTCTAAAGAACGTTAAGGTGCTACCAAACTAGCCGTGTGAAACTGTCACCCCAGCTTTCACTTGGCGCAGTTTAATCGCCCGAGAGGTGGCCCTGACGATGCTGAGCCAAATATCGTTACAAGGTTGTGTTTTGGCCCCTTTGCGTGGTGTTCTTGCACATCTATTTCGTCAGCTAAAACTGATCACCTGTATTCATATGCTTGTTTAGGACACTGCTATTGAGATGCTTTATTACACTCTCATTTCCGTTAAAAACTATTAAGGGCGTCCAACTTTTTGTATTGTGCAGTCCAAAATGTGGTTCGTGATTGAGAATTGCACAGCCAGCATAGCATTGGTTGACAGCCAATTGACGACCGTTATGCCTGGAAACCGCGCTCACGAACGCCAGATATGCCCGGCTCGACGGCCATATTCTTGTTGGCCTTGGACGCTGGATTATCAATGGGGTAGCAACATTTCAATGCCGTTTCTATGGCGTCATGGGCGCCTGAACGACTCTGAAACGGTCTGCACGACAATTTCTGTACATCTTGGGGAGTGTAGCTCAGAAAGTAGAGGTTTTTAGGTCTGCGGACAGGGCTGTGATCTGCACCAAACTATCTTCAAAATGACCACTTCATTTCAACAACTCAAACAAATGTGGGACATCTCTTCAACCGATCTTCGTAAATGGCACCCCCTGCATTGCGGTTACCAGCCTACTGTCTCAATGCGTCGCGCTAGTCACTGCAATCTACTGTTCCAGTGTTCACGAAACGCTCTCTTCTTTATATTCATTGCTTTCTTCTTTATATCCATGCCATTTTGGCGAACAGCTTCGGCCGGGCAGGCGGACACGGTGATATTTTAGCTCAGTAATGCGATCAGGAAGTTATTGTGCCGAAAACACGTTATATTCAGCGTACCAGACGGCACTGATTAGAGTGACGCCATGAAGCCAACACTGAGATTGGCATTGATGACTTTCCGTACATTGCTGAAAAGCAAGGGGCTCAAGGTTTGAGTTGTATATAATAAGCACGCCTTCCAACTAGGCACGTCCATAGGTCAGCCTAGCATACATGTCCGCGTATCTGCTTATCCCGAGACTTGCCGCACAGGGCGACTGCTTCTCACAGTCCTATTAATGTCTGCAGACAGTTGTTGACAATTTACAACACATGTTATTCTATGGACATATGCCGATTTCATGCGCGTTTTATATTGGACGTCAGGATTTCAGAATTTGACAATTATCATTTTCGTGATCGGGGTTGGCTTCGTTTGGAGTCCCGATGACGTGCTCGACACCCCCAACTATGACAGAAAGCCTCCGCTGTCACTGTCTCCCGAAGAGACCAAGGCCCTACGGAGGTCCGAAATCCTGACCAGCATCCGCACGTCTGTGGCGATGTGTTTCATGGCCTCGTGATGTGACGACGCCGTGATGTGAAGACGCCGTGATGTGACGACGCCGTGATGTGAAGACGCCGTGATGTGACGACGCCGTGATGTGAAGACGCCGTGATGTGACGACGCCGTGATGTGAAGACGCCGTGATGTGACGACGCCGTGATGTGACGACGCCGTGATGTGAAGACGCCGTGATGTGACGACGCCGTGATGTGAAGACGCCGTGATGTGAAGACGCCGTGATGTGACGACGCCGTGATGTGACGACGCCGTGATGTGAAGACGCCGTGATGTGAAGGCTGCTAGCACTGCTCGCCAGTCTCATGCCGCTGCTCTATCAGCTTCGCCGTACGGTCATCGCCCCAGCCGGTGTGATGGACCTGGATGGCCGTGGTGACCCTCCGGCGTGTTCCAGCCGGTGTGATGGACCTGGATGGCCGTGGTGACCCTTCGGCGTGTCCCAGCCGGTGTGATGGACCTGGATGGCCGTGGTGACCCTTCGGCGTGTCCCAGCCGGTGTGATGGACCTGGATGGCCGTGGTGACCCTTCGGCGTGTTCCAGCCGGTGTGGTGGACCTGGATGGCCGTGGTGACCCTTCGGCGTGTCCCAGCCGGTGTGATGGACCTGGATGGCCGTGGTGACCCTTCGGCGTGTTCCAACCGGTGTGGTGGACCTGGATGGCCGTGGTGACCCTTCGGCGTGTTCCAGCCGGCGCGGCGGCCGTTTGCCTGATGCGCGCACCAAAGCGATCTCGCCAGGCCGACAAACGGGCGTCGGCCCGGCCGCGCCGCCCACTGCGCCGGCGCGCGCGCCCTTCTGACCCTGGCGGGCTGTACCCAGGCGTATCTCGCTAGCGTCTATAAGAGGCGGCGGCCCACGGCCGTCGGCTAGTGGCCGGCAGCCAGCGGGTGTGTGCGCGCGTACGCAGCGTCATGGGCTTCACGGAGGTGCGGTCGGGCTACGTGCCCCTCCAGGACACGCCCAGTGGCAGCAACGAGTCGTGAGTGACGCCCTCATCAGAGTCGGCCGGACCCGGCTCCTGTGGCGGCAACTGAAAGCTATGAGCTCTGAAGCCTTTTTGTCTGTCCTGGTAATGTGTTTTTGAACATTGTGCGCCGATTGTGAAAGAAAGTGCATCAGTTTCCCCAGGTTTCAGGTCTATCATATAGCAGATCTGTCGAATGCACTCAGCTTGCCTAAGTTGAATCAAACTGTCTAAAGAAATCCTCATGAAAAATGGAGTGGGCTCATTGCATTCTTAGGTAATGAAAGCCCCTAACCAGTAATCTGTCTTTGCCTCAGGCCGTTTTCAGGCACAGTATTTTGTTGATTGCTCTTTCATGGCCAGGCTTCCTGCTTCCGTAGCTCGCTTTCGTCCTATTAGACATATGTCAAATGAGTTGTATCTACGCTTCTCGCCATGTCCCATTGTGTTGTTGAATGTTGTTGCAAATAGTTCACGTTCGATCACCCTTTTATATGCGCTCTCAAATCAACGCTCATACTTGTTTGTGCATCTTCAGGATCGATATCAAGCCCGAGGCACCACTTTCTGCCAGAGAGAATATCTCCAAAGAAAAAACGCACTCTCACCATTCTTTCTGCAACGATATGGTGAGTTGCGATATCTAATTCTCTGCATTTTAAGTTCGTCACTTGGCACCACGAAAGGCTTGAGTGATAATCGCATAGAAAAAGAGGTATTACAGTCATCACTTCTGATTATGCCGTATGTAAAAAGAAATCAACAGGGATTTATTATCAGCCAATCACCTTGGCTAAACAACATGAGTATGTGACGAAGAGTCGTTGTCAATAACAGAGCAGCTTCGCTGCCTTCTCTGTACCGTAAATGTAGGCGTCCCGTGAATGTTTTCATCAGCTAAAAGACTCTTCATCCACACAGCATCATCAACTTGGAGGCGGGCAGTGGCATGATGGCGTGCCCTCGTGCCACCATTAACGCCGGTGAGTGTTTGAGCGTCTGGTGCAGTCATTACGGAGTTCAGTGGTGCGTGAACTAAAAACCTCACTGAGGCTAAAAGGCAATGCACAGATACCAGCTTCATGCAGTGTGGACTTATTCTAGTTCATAGGTTATAGAATCGGCACGATTAAGTACTATTTTCTATTCCAGATTAGCTGCAGTTTTCACTTTCTCACAAGCTTCGATCAGTGTATAATGTACTTTGACTCTGGCCCAGCAGAAAATTCCCGCAATACGATCATAACACGCATCTCTGAGCAGTGATATTCCACCCGATGTCTTTGGCCGGTTGATCAGTGCCGACTTTGTCCGTCTCCGGTCTGCGTGGTCCCGCCAGCATCGACTGAGTCCGTCCCCGGTCTGCGTGGTCCCGCCAGCATCGACTGAGTCCGTCCCCGGTTTGAAAGGTCCCCCAGTGCCAACTGAGTCCGTGCCCGGTCTGCGCGGTCCCGCCAGTACCGACGTCTGTGCCCGGTCTGAGTGGCCCCGCCAGTACCGACGTCCGTGCCCGGTCTGAGTGGTCCCGCCAGTACCGACGTCCGTGCCCGGTCTGAGTGGTCCCGCCAGTACCGACGTCCGTGCCCGGTCTGAGTGGTCCCGCCAGTACCGACGTCCGTGCCCGGTCTGAGTGGTCCCGCCAGTACCGACGTCCGTGCCCGGTCTGAGTGGTCCCGCCAGTACCGACGTCCGTGCCCGGTCTGAGCGGTCCCGCCAGTACCGACGTCCGTGCCCGGTCTGAGCGGTCCCTCCAGTACCGACGTCCGTGCCCGGTCTGAGTGGTCCCGCCAGTACCGACGTCCGTGCCCGGTCTGAGTGGTCCCGCCAGTACCGACGTCCGTGCCCGGTCTGAGTGGTCCCGCCAGTACCGACGTCCGTGCCCGGTCTGAGTGGTCCCGCCAGTACCGACGTCCGTGCTCGGTCTGAGTGGTCCCGCCAGTACCGACGTCCGTGCCCGGTTTGAGCGGTCCCGCCAGTACCGACGTCCGTGCCCGGTCTGAGTGGTCCCTCCAGTACCGACGTCCGTGCCCGGTCTGAGTGGCCCCGCCAGTACCGATGCCTGTCTGTGGCCTAATGCCAACTGCATCTGCCTTCAGGCTGGGTCGGTTTCCTTTTGTTTTTCGCCTGCGGCAGCATGTCCGCCTTCAACGGCATTCTGCTGACGTGGTCGCGCTCAATCCTGGAGGAGCGCTACCCCGAATATAATGGCCACGTACGCAGCCCATTCGCCGAGATCGCCACCAAAGCGTTCGGCCGACCGGGCAGGTGAGCCGCCCCGGGGCAGAACTCACCGCAGGCTCTGGCCGCGTCTCGCTTTTGGAGAAAGACGCACGAGATGCTCTGCAAAGAGAGGCTATAGCAAACGGGAGAACAAGCATTGCTATGCCCTTGCTCTGACACATAGGATGGGGTACTGCGCAGAGCTGAAACTAAAAGGAACCGGCATGCCTAGCTGCAGGCTGGAGTTGTACTGGGATTTTGCTTGTGGAATGTGTGGGTCCCGTGTTTACGCGCACATTTGGTACATAATTATCGTGTTGAGGAATCAAGCGGTAAATTATTTGATCCCTTCGAAACCGCTGTTCCATTTCCTCTTTCACATCGCCTTCTCAGATCACTTTTACTTTTTTACATCTCCCTACTTGCATCCTTACATCTCTTATGCCCTGTCTTCTCATATTATGCAATGACCTTATTTCATCGTGCATTTTGACGGCACAAGAACAGTCACATGTTCAGTGGATGGGTCTTAGAGTACAAATAACGGCTCGTTAGATCGGGCCAGCGGAAAGGAGGGCCACAGATTGCCTAATTATTTGAGCGTAAATGGAAAATTGTTGAGCGAAATGAAGCATACTATATGTATCAGGCGGGAACACCGTAACTTTCGACGTACTTACCCGAAAATCAACCATTTGGTCGTTTTTAGTTAATCCTGTAGAATATCTCGATAACCTGAAGAATCTGTAAACAGTCCGTAGGAAAGTGTATCACAATGTCGCTTCAAGCAAACCAACATTTTAAGTTTATGCGCTTTCATTTAAACCCCTTCTTCGAATTTGCTCGTGTTTCAAGCTTAAATATCGAGTGCTTGAGTCTCTGGTGTGCGCCAATCTGGAGATTTGTGTCATTGCTGGACCGCTATCGGTTCTTTTATCTTTGTTTGCACTGTCCCGTCAAAAGGCCTCGTCCCAGCTGGTGCCACGCCGCCGGCCTAAAGTGAGCTCGCACCGCGTCCGCTCGACAGGATGCTGTTCAACTTCTGCATTTTTATGAGCCACTTCGGCGCTGCGGTTGTGAACATGCTGCTGTGTGCCGAGCTGATGGAGAGCTTCACCGGCTGGTCGCGCTGCTTCTGCATACCGCTGATCGCCATGTTCTTCATGCCCTCGTCGTGCCTGCCGTCTCCGGCCAAGTTCAGGTGAGTCGGTGCTGAGCCGCAGTCGGTCGGTGCCCTGACATCAGGCCAGCGCTGCATCAATGCTGGGCCGCGGCCGGTCGGTGCCGGCCCAGCACACTCTGAGGCCCGAGCTGCGTGGGCCGCGGTCGGTCGGTGCCGGCCCGGAACACTCTGAGGCCCGAGCTGCGTGGGCCGCGGCCGGTCGGTGCCGCTCCGGAACACTCTGAGGTCCGAGCTGCGTGGGCCGCGGCCGGTCGGTGCCGGCCCGGAACACTCTGAGGCCCGAGCTGCGTGGGCCGCGGCCGGTCGGTGCCGGCCCGGAACACTCTGAGGTTCCGAGCTGCGTGGGCCGCGGCCGGTCGGTGGCCGGCCCAGTACACACTGGGGCCCAGGCTGTGGCACGGCCAGCCGTCAGCCGGCTGAAGCCACCTCTCCGGCTTCGGCTTCCAGCCAACTCGTCTTCTCTGTTGCAATGTGTAGATGCGTCGCCGGACCGGCTGTCTTGGCTCTGAATGCTCTATTGATATCGGTGTCTCACCCACATTATTGCCCATACTGTTGTGGGTGTCCGCATGTCTCCGCCTGAGCCAGCCACCCCTTTGTAACCTGTGCAGGAAGATCACGTACATGGGCCTGATGGCGGCGATGGTGGCCTGCCTCTGCTGTATCATCAAGCTGTCACTGGTGCTGACCTCGCTGTCGGAGCCGGTGACACGCACGCCGGCCACGCTGCAGTCCTTCTCGCTCGGCCTGGCCACCATCATGTTCAGCTTCGCCGGCGCCGGCGCGCTGCCCACCATCCAGAACGACATGGGCGACCGCAGCAAGTTCGCCCACAGCGTATTCTTGGGATACTCCGGTGAGCGGCCCGATCGCTCTGCACGTGCACGGATGACAACGGGCAGGGCAAAGGTCACGGCAGCCCGGCACTTTGAATCTTGGGGAGGTGTCAATCAGGGGATAGATGAACGAATACATGGACGTTTTATTTTCAGGTGCCTTGTCTCATTGCTATTTTATGCAAAGCTGACTATGCATGATTCGAAAGTGCACGGTCTAGAAAAAAACATCGCATGTCAGAATTGTGTCAGGATTATTAAGTCCTAATCATTGGATGTCTAAATAAGTATAACCCGTATCTTTTGCGCTTATGCTACTAAACGCTCGGGCATCACCTTTTGCATTGGTTCGTGCGTTTGGTGAAAGTTTACCTAATCTGGACAAAAATGCGACTGGAGTTTGTAAAAGACTCCCAGGCTACAGTCGTTACCGTTTAATTTCTGCTACCACAGAGAACACAAGGAAGCGTACATAAATGGTTAATAGGTGGCTTGAAACCATTGGGTATATTAACATTTACAAATAAACAAGCGATATTTGACCACTGTGTTAATGTGCCATGAGCTCAATGTCAATGCAGCAATGTCCAGTTTTGTAGTCATCAAACGTGAGAAACTTAAAAGTGGTTAGCTATTGATGAGAGTTGATACCATAGCTACCGCGTGATAACGATATCCCTCCGATAGGAGGCGCAAGTACGCCATTTCCGTGGCACCTATAGCTTTACTAGAGTGCACGTCTGCTTTAACCTTCTTGCAGGAACAAGCCAGCAAGTTGACAAAGAGTATGAAAACATTTTATCGGCACATTCCATTATGCGCCTAGGACCTGTATGAACGCCGCGGCCCAGAATGCTCAGCTGTGCACCCTACCTACATTCGACATCTATTTAGACGTCAGAAAACATAATTAGGTCGTTGATTCACTGATTCCTGACTCGGCATTCATCTGTGACCGGATTTGTTGCCGAATGGAAATGAACGGTGCCTTTTGAAAAGAAGCGTAGCTGTCGGTCATACGCAACCGGCCGCAAGTCGCGTTCCCGCGGACCCAATGCTGGAACGCGAATGTGACTTACGAGAACCTCTCGCATTCATCGAGATGTTATAAGAAGGGCCTCAGAACAGACTTCGCTATTTCAAACAGGCATCGCATAAACATAAGCCAACTGGCATGCGTTTGTATATTGGACGCGGCTTGTCAGGCATGACGTTAGGCTTCGCGTGGCGTCTTTTGTCGTTGCAGCGCCACATTCTGAACAGCGACCGTCATGTGTTCAGCCAACCCTGACCGGCTCCATCTGCCGTGCAGGACTGATCGTGCTCTTCACGACTATGTCGTCCCTTGGCTACACGGCGTTAGGTGACCAGCTGTCTGCCAACATCATCAACTCGCTACCCGACGGCGACTTCCGCAAGATCAGCCAGGTGGCCTTCACCGTCAGCCTGACGACGGCCACCTACACGCTCATTAACCCGGTCTTCCGCCAGGTGGAGGGGCCGCTCAAGATCGAGGGTCCAGGTGAGCCGAGTCACGCCGCTGTCAGTGCTGCTGGCACAGCGGCTCAAGTCCGTCTTAAATAACCCAGCGGCTTGCGTAACTGTATTACTTGGGTGGGCTTGCGTCATGCAGCGGCGTCTCGCCTACACCAAAAAACGTACTTCCTGTTAACCTGACTTGTTTACTGCCTGCTCGTACGTGTCCTTGCTAATTGGGGCCGACCCTCCGTCAACCACATTTGAATCACCAAAATACCTTTGCTGTCGCGGACTAACAATCAGCCGCCGCGTTGTTACGATCCCTTCTATATGTACTATACACATAATGTTTTAAAATGATAAACATTAAAATTAAATGGAATTAAATAATGCGATAATTACCAAAAACTTAGGATCACACTTTCATTACCATAACTCATCATCATCACCAAAACCAAATAATGCTATGCCAACAATGGACGCTTTCTTATCCTCTCTGTTTGGGGTTATTGCTCATCTTGCGTGCATGATTGTACGCTAAGATTGGTGGGGTGTTATGTGCCGACAGACATGAGCTTGAAGCAGGTGATCGTGCGGACGCTGATGATCGGCTGCATGGTGATAGTGGGTCTGACCGTGCCCAGCTTTGACAAGATACTCAATCTGCTGGGATCGACCACCATCGGCGTACTGGCCTTTGTCTTCCCGCCGCTCTTTTACTTCCGACTCATGACTCAACACGAGGAGGGCTGGCCGGAGAGGTAGGTCACTAGACCCAGCACAATGAGGGCTGGTCGGACAGATAGGTCACTTGACCTAGCACGAGGAGGGCTGGCCGATGAGGTAGGTCACTAGACCCAGCACAGTGAGGGCTGGTCGGACAGATAGGTCACTAGACCTAGCACGAGGAGGGCTGGCCGGAGAGGTAGGTCACTAGACCCAGCACAATGAGGGCTGGTCGGACAGATAGGTCACTAGACCTAGCACGAGGAGGGCTGGCCGGAGAGGTAAGTCACTAGACCCAGCACAGTGAGGGCTGGTCGGACAGATAGGTCACTAGACCTAGCACGAGGAGGGCTGGCCGGAGAGGTAGGTCACTAGACCCAGCACAGTGAGGGCTGGTCGGACAGATAGGTCACTAGACCTAGCACGAGGAGGGCTGGCCGGAGAGGTAGGTCACTAGACCCAGCACAGTGAGGGGCTGGTCGGACAGATAGGTCACTAGACCTAGCACGAGGAGGGCTGGCCGGAGAGGTAGGTCACTAGACCCAGCACAGTGAGGGCTGGTCGGACAGATAGGTCACTAGACCTAGCACGAGGAGGGCTGGCCGGAGAGGTAGGTCACTAGACCCAGCACAGTGAGGGCTGGTCGGACAGATAGGTCACTAGACCTAGCACGAGGAGGGCTGGCCGGAGAGGTAGGTCACTAGACCCAGCACAATGAGGGCTGGTCGGACAGATAGGTCACTAGACCTAGCACGAGGAGGGCTGGCCGGAGAGGTAGGTCACTAGACCCAGCACAGTGAGGGCTGGTCGGACAGATAGGTCACTAGACCTGGCACGAGGAGGGCTGGCCGGAGAGGTAAGTCACTATACCCAGCACAATGTGGACTGGCCGGAGAGGAAAAGTACAGGACCCAGTACAAGAAGGACTGGCCGGAGAGGTAAAAAACACGTCCCAGCACGATTAGGGCTGGCTGGAGAGGTAAGTCACAATATCTAGAACGAGGGTGGCTGGCCGGAGAGGTAAAACACAGGACCCAGCACAAGAAGGACTGGCCGGAGAGTTAAAGCACAGGGCCCGGCACGAGGAGGGTTGGCCGGAAAGGTGAACAGTGAACCCGGCATTAGAACGGCTGCCTGCGTATTCTGGCCAGCAAACCATTCCCAATGTCATTTCAGCTGAGAACTAATCCAGGTGGTCCGAGAGGCTTGGGCGGCTCTGGAGACGGCACTGTGTTCATAGATGCGTCCGGTATCCAGCGGGCAGATGGTATGCCTCTTCGCGGCTGATGGCTGAGCAGGCCGCAGCCTGGACGTCGTGTGACGGCGGCGTGCGTCGCTGCCCGCAGGCGGATCCCGGCCTGGCAGAAGGTGGCCGTGCCGTGCGCCGTCCTGCTCAGCGTCGTCGGTACCGCCTGCGCCTTTCAAGCGGCCATCCGCGACTTTGTCAGCGCCGAGTCTCTCTCCGGCTCCTGCCTGATCCCGATGTAGGGCCGGTGCGACCCTGCCGGCCGCCGCCACTGATCTCAACAAGGTCAGGCGGACGCCCCGCGCGCCGTCCAGCGGTATGCGCTGCGCAGCTGCCACGCTTGTGAGGTCATGTTCCGTGCCCGACCGGCTGATTCCTTGACAGGTGTGGTGTACTCTGCATATTGTAATTCGTTTGTATTGCTTAAAAAAGATCAAGCGCTCGTATTTTACGAGGTACTTAATCCCTGCGGTCTTAAGACCGTCGCAGCCAGTAACTGGTGTAAAGTTTTGGCTCCACACCGCTTCATTGGTAGATCATTGTCTAATCTCGGCCCCACACCGCTTCAGTGGTAGATCATTGTCTAGTCTCGGCTCCACACCGCTTCAGTGGTAGGACATTGTCTAGTCTCAGCTCCACACCGCTTCAGTGGTAGGTCATTGTCTAGTCTCAGCTCCACACCGCTTCAGTACGTGCCCAAGGCGATCAGCGCCGCATCCGTGACACGCGTTTCATTGCGGCTGGGTGTCACGCCCATGGTACTGATTATGGGCGTATTCTTCGCTGTTTTGCCCTACGCGGACGTGGAGTGATGCTAGCCAGACATGTTCGGTGTGACGCACCATCATGGCCGGACTGGCCGGTTTAGCGTATGCTCATGTGAGGCCGCCGACAGACGGCCGCGCCGCGCCGCGCCGCGCCGCCGCCCGCTCGTGAATGACATGTTTAAACCGCCCGAACAAAATCCTCGGATGTTTATGTCTCTTGCCCGTCGTCGATCAGGCCAGTGTCAAAAGCGGCGTTCCTTGCGGGTGGCATCCGCCGACCGACTACTACCGCTGCAATAATCCGGTATAAAGATAGTCTGTGGCACTCCGGAAGCAGACGTGGGGTACCTGAGTTAGTTATTGCGCCTGAAATGTTTCCGTCCTAGCAGATAGGGCCGCCGCAAAAGTTCTGTCGTAAGGGCATGCCACCCCTGAATAGTCTGTTTGCCATTGCCATACCCAATACGCATACGTATTTGCCACACGCACTACGGTGAAGGATCAATTTGACCAATGAAGGTTTTCCAGAATATTTTCCGAACAGCGCAGCGTAGCCACGCTCAAGTGAAAATCGAACATTTTAGGATAATAAATTTTATGAACCTTATAAGGTCGCTGACCTATGATAGGTGAAATTCAGGTCAAGCCTGTCAGCCAGGCTGAGGCCATTTGTGGGAAATCTGTCAATCTGTTGCGACAACAGAGTGTTAGACGAAACCTGACAAAACTATCTCTGATATAGTTTTTTAGGCAATAAAACAATTGAATTAATACTTACAGCAAATTCTTTGCCCTTGGGTCAGGTATGAGAGTCAAACGTACGTCCAAAGTGACCTGCTTTCTTACCCGAATGGAGTTATGGGTTAGTTTGTATCCGTTATGTTTGTATGGGTTAGTTTGTGGTGGTTTTTCGAATTAATTAATATTAGAGACCGCAACATGCATGTTCGTAGGTTTGCCCGATAACCAGCGGGCAGATGGCGAGTCTGCTCGCAGCGGATGGCTGTCACTGGTGGTGGACTTCTTGAAGGTCAGAGCATCGCACCGACTTAAAAAGACCCAGGTCAACATTTTGCCTCTGGGAACCTACCGTCTAGCCTATTCCTAACGGTCATTTAAGTGCCAAAAGAAAAGCAATGTCGGATAATGGTATCGGTCACCTTGACCTCCTAAAGGTAAAAAGGTTACTGACCTTATATCAAAGGCAGTTACCTATTGTTTAGAACGGGTGTCTAGGCTCACGGTAGTTGCATGAGGTGTCTGGGGCACTTTTGACATCAATCTGTAGTTTGCCCTTGTTTGACTTTATTTTACCCAAAGATCATGACCTAGGAGCCTCATATTTGGGCACAAACGAGTTCATATACAGGCCAACCCACCCTACACACTAAGTGTATGGCTCTCTTACGTTTTGAGATCTCGAGGGCCAAATTGACCCCCACTGCCATCTCACCCGAGCAAAGGGTGCTCAACCACCCATCCGGACGTTATATCTCCAAACGATTACGGTGGTTCGTCTGGCATAGGACATCGTCAGGCAATGACAAGTAATTGCGACATCCAAATTACACTACACAACGGTTTTGTCTACATATCTTGAGTAAAATCATATCAAGGCATTAATTTGGTAAAAGTCGATCGCAGAGAAAAGACACAATGAACCAAATGTAGTAGTTCGGACAAAACTACAGGAAATTCAAATCTCCCGAAGGACTTGTCAGAAATCCTCACATTCTAACTGCAGGCAGCAAACCTTAGAACCAGAGGAGCCCTACACTGAATAGAGTGTGGGTATTGCGCTGACCTGGCGGCCTATCACTGGGCCGTTGTCACGGATGTGCACCACTTCAAGCACTTGGAGCTTCCACCTGTCAGAGCAGTGGGCGGGAATGATGTAGTTAACGATCAGCTGCCTGTCAGTCGGGTGTTGTAGACCTTCTTGAGATTACGATTATGGGATCCATCTTGCAAGTGCTTTGTAAGACGGCTTCCGAGGGTCGTTGTCGCATGGACCATGTGGGTACCGTTAGGACGGTGCACAGAGTTCCCAGTGTCATAGAGAAATGGTACACCGCGCCGGCCCTCTTCGGCACAGACGTATCATGGGATAAGCTGCCATGGGCACGCTGTTCACTTTAGGGCTCCGGCAAAAGACGAGTTTAATTGTGCATTGTGGCTGCATGCGGTGACAGCTTTTAGTCACGTGTGTCCCGCATTATTTTCTTGTCCTTTTAGTTACGTCATTCCGCATAATCTTTTGGTCTTTTTAGTCGCGTTGTCCCGCATAATCTCCTCGTCCTTTTTGTCACGTTTGTCCCGCATAATCCTCTCGTCCATTTAGTCACGTCGTCTGAACCCGTCTGCTGACCTCTGACACCGTCTGCTGGCCTCTCGACGCCGTATGCTGACCTCTCGACGCCGTCTGCTGACCGTCCGATGCCCCCTACTGACCGTGTAAGCCCGTCTGCCGACTGTCTGTGCTGGCTGCGTTTCTGAGCTGTGTTTACAGCAAGGCCCGCCGGGAATGTGACGGCCCCGTCTGTTCCAGGAGCGGGGACGCGACGCGCGACACTCCACGTAAACACTGAGGCCGGTCGGCACGCGCCCAGACCCGGTGCAGCTTGGCGCCGACCTTCCGAGGCCGTGCCATGCCGACGCGCTGGACGGCGTCCGGCCGGTGGCAGCGCGCCTCACTGGTGACGCGCCGGCCGTCGGGCCCGAGGAGCGGCGCCGGCCAGCTCTGGCGTCGACCGACACCCGAGCAGGAGGCCGTCTCCCGAGCCGCAATGTGACGCTGCCATCCTGGGCGTGACGGTAACATGCCACAATCTCCCTGCACGGACGACCAGCGACAGCGGAAGTGAATGTGAACACACCCGAAGCATAAAAATGAGAAATGCCTAAACACTATCAGCGTTTGAAATGGTGTTATTTACGTTAACAGTTGTAGCGTTTACCGTGATGCCTATTTAAATATGGTTCCTGTTTCGTAATGCGATGAATGGGGCTGCATACCGCGCTCCATTGCCCACCGATGTGCTGTCTTCGAAATGCCTTGGAATGCTGCTTTTTTAGGTAAGGTGTATTTGAATAAGTGGTCGCCAGGGATATCACTACACTTATCCTCCGCTTTTTGACGATCGAGCAGGACTTAACGAATGTCATATTTTGTCACAAGCCCTCTCTTGCCAGATATAGCAACTGCGGTTGCCCACTCACCATGTACATGTAATCGCATAAACCCTCGCCATGATGGGGACGTCGACCCGACACCCTAATGTTTTCGGAGGATATCTCTCCGACACGTTGTGTAATAGCTCTTAAATTGCCGGTAGCCTATGGGGCATTCATTGCGGATGTTTGAACGCTAAAAAAGTGTGTCCAGATTCTAACCTGTAATCTAGATAGATTTCTGATTTCTGAGCAACAGCGGTTTCGAGGAACACTACATGACGATCCATGGCTGGCGCGGGCGGCGGGCTGCGACCGGCGCGGGCGGTGGGCTGCGACCGGCGGGTCCGCCGATCGCGCGTGGCGGGGCGATGCTGTCACGTAACATGGTATAGATTCGCAACTGTGGATATGTGACGTTATAAAGTGTGATTTTCGGGGAAATTTAGCATTTTACCTGGCATAATGGGCCAATCAGTCACGCAACAATATCAAATTCATTACCAATCGCGAGATCTCTTTGGGACCAGTTTACTGTTGAGACCAATCCGCTGCCTTTTTCCGCGTGGATCTAACGCTCTTGGTTTGGAAACAGCAGGGGAGGGGTCGATCACCGCTCGTCACCCCGGGTTGTGAAAAAGAGAGAATCGTGGCGAGGGTGAGACTAGATTATATTCTGCTTTTATCCGGCAGTTACCAAAGAAACGGTGATGCCATGACCAGACCCGTTACGCGGCGCAGGCAGGGCGCACATTAAGATTAACTGCTCTAGAAGTGATGAAGACATGACCGGCGTATGATAATTCAGCTCGCCAAAAGCTATGCAAGAAATAGCTCCATTGGAATCCTGTGAATCCGACTGCTGACAACGCTGCGTCTAGCAATACCATAAGGTGCGTCTAGTACGTATGAAGAAATTCATTGTACCACCAGGCTGGGTAAATGATGTGGTACAATATGCTGACATTCATGAGTTTCATAGTATAGTCTAGAAACAACACTTCATGCGTTAAAGAAAGTGAGGCGAAGGTTTCATGACAGTCTAAGGAAAGATAGCGCCTTAGTAACCAATCTGCGAACTTTGCACTTAAACGCCTGCTGAGACTTCACGCGCAAAGTCCATTTAAAACAAGATATATTCTTTTGCATGATACTCGGCGTGGAAGCTCAAGCAATGAAATGAAATGTGTCGTTCTGGTGAATAAACTGTGGGCTGGGGCATATGCTTTCTCGTATAAAATACAACTAAATATAGATAAATGTGTCACAATATTACCACAACGACCTTGCGAAAGATGTCGTAGGGCATGAACCGTCAAAGACTCAGCCTCACAATAGTTCAGCACCGGGTGGAAGGTGAGGATTTAGCACACGCAAGTCTACCTGCCCATTACGAGGTCCGGGGACAAGTTGCTCCCCCCCCCCCCCCCTCCTCACGAGGGTTTCTTTCCGAAACAACTCTCAAACGGGCAGCGTATCTACGCCAAACACTGCATTGCTGTGGGCAACTAAAGACATGATCATACGGTCTAAAAATGTCACGGACCTTGCAAGGCCGCTGACCTATGCCATGCCAAAGCCAGGCCATTACTGTCAGCGAAGGCAATTCCTAGCGAGTCGTGTCGTCTGATGCGTCCTCGAAGCGTTAGACGAAGCCATGCATCCTTGAGATGAACATTTAAACCATAAGGCATTTGAATGTAGGATTTCGACTTTTGCAATTAAATTTAGGCCAGATGTGAAGGTAAGACCAAGCTCAAGACCCTAACCGCTTTTTAGATTGCATTGCAACGCAGTTTTTATGTTTCCTTCAAATTTTGGGATCACAGGGGTGTTAAAAACCATCCTATTTAGACTCTTATTTAGTTAGCGGTCACCGACCTCTACTGACTTGATCATCTCTTTTTTGAGAAATATGTCGTGTAGCGCAGATTTGCACGCTGATTCACAGATCAAGAAGATAACAACATCAAAACAACCTTGAACGTGTTTGGTTATCGTGACCTTTTCATTTTCGATTAATGTCGTTGACCTGATTGGAACACCAACGACCCTTTCCTTAGACGAAATACCTAGTTTACAGTTGGTTGTATGAGGAGATCTGATGGGAGTTAGGACACCAATCTAGGGTTTTACCTGGTCTGACCCTATTTCACATGTAGATCTGAACCTAGGAACCTAAAAACTGGACATAAGCGAATTGACATGCATGGCTGCCTACCCTTTAATTTTTGAATTTTTGGTGTCTATCTTTCTCAGTTTTTTAAATCTTAGGGAGTTAAATCACCATCACCAATGGAGCACATCGCATTGATAACCAAATCTGAGACGCTAGAAACTAGCACCGCTAACCTGCAGAACGCGGAACCGACGCGGCGAAGAGCAGGCCTACGGTGGCAGCGGACGAGGCGGCCGGCACGGAGGACCACAGCGCTGCCACCGCCGGCACGGAGGACCACAGCGCTGCCACCGCCGGCGCGGAGGACCACAGCGCTGCCACCGCCGGCGCGGAGGACCACAGCGCTGCCACCGCCGGCGCGGAGGACTACAGCGCTGCCACCGCCGGCGCGGAGGACCACAGCGCTGCCGCCGCCGGCGCGGAGGACCACAGCGCTGCCGTCGCCGGCGCGGAGTGACCACAGCGCTGCCGCCGCCGGCGTGTAGGACCACAGCGCTGCCGCCTCGCGGCGGGAGGACCATAGCGCTGCCGCCGCCGGCGCGGAGGACCACAGCGCTGCCGCCGCCGGCGCGGAGACCACAGCGCTGCCGCCGCCGGCGCGGAGGACCACAGCGCTGCCACCGCCGGCGCGGAGGACCACAGCGCTGCCACCGCCGGCGCGGAGGACCACAGCGCTGCCGTCGCCGGCGCGGAGGACCACAGCGCTGCCGCCGCCGGCGCGGAGGACCACAGCGCTGCCGTCGCCGGCGCGGAGGACCATAGCGCTGCCGCCGCCGGCGCGGAGGACCACAGCGCTGCCGTCGCCGGCGCGGAGGACCACAGCGCTGCCACCGCCGGCATGGAGGACTGTAACGTTGCCGCCACCGGCGCGGAGGGCCACAGCGCTGCCGCCGCCGGTTATAGTGATCGAAGCGGTCACCGCGACTACACTGGGTCGGCCGCCGCGGCAAGAAATGCGACCGACGCGTCGGGAGACTACGCCGCAGGGTCAGTGTCGGCAGGTGTCAGCGACAGGTCTGTACTAGAGACGCAGCTTTTAGCTTTTTCCAAAACATTAGCCCGCAGCCCGGCCAGCCCCGGCCAGCTAGGGATCCAGCCTGCAAAGGCCCGCAGTGCTACAATGCCGGCCCGGTGTTAACCCACAAGCACTAAGTCAGTTGCGCCCTGTGTGTTGTCCTTTCTCTTTAATGTGGGGCCTAGACATAGGGTGTGCCCAAAATGTCACGTCAGCGTCATTAATGCACAATATAGTTTGGCAACACCAGTGATGTTGTTTAAAGAGCAGTGATCAAATCGCAAACACTAGAGAGGCAGCGTACTAGAAGTACTAAAGAGTACTAGAGACGGAGGTGCACAAACTCTCCGAGCTGTCTCCTACAAGATAACCGCGAATATCCACCTGTCTCATCATTAGTTGTATCATTCAAGGTCATGCTCAAATGGTAATCTCTTGTTTTATGTGTCTCGTGTCTCTTTTGTTATTATTTTTAATGGCAATTAAGAAAGCGGGCGGATATTTCAGCGACCTATCTAAATGCGAAGGCCGGATACAACAAAAACAGATCATAATAACTTAATGCAGTGGGCGCATTCTGTTCGAATCATTAACACCATACTACCTCGACCACGCACATATGTGTATGCATTAATCACTATGACATTTCTCAATTTGATCTGCAAACTTAAATAATGAAATGCCGCTAATACAGCGGAATAAATCGATACCTTCTAAATCTATGATACCTTTAAAGCCTATGACGCATTCTTAAAAATGTTGATGAAAATGCTAAGTGGTTCTGTTCAAGCATAACACACGGTACATAACGAGGCTGATTAGAACCACACGCCGCGTCCATTGGCTGCATAGTTATTCGGCGGCAAAACAGCTCTTCATGTGCTCACCTGTTCATGATGGTTATCACATGGATATAGCCGTCTTTGGGCTTCCTCCGAGCCGCCTACACGAGACAGTGCCATTGGATTTGCATTGGCTTACAGGACAGGCCCGAAGGCAGCGTAAACAAAGCGACTTAGCGAATTTTGTGGACGCATTTCAAACGCAGCGCACAAAACGTTTGAGGCCTAACCAGCCAGCATAGCAGAAGATATCGAGTACTTTATCAACTTTATCGATAGTAAAACAAGCTTGAAGTCCGTAATCGTGTGAGAAGGAGGATGGTTTCTTCATCACGGAGGCAGGCACGACGTAGCTATAAAGGTTGCAAGTTTTAAGGGGAATTTCGGAAATGTGAGCGGCATCTGGTGTCTGTGCATGGTGGTGGAACCGTGTGCCTACTTAATGCTGCTTTTGGAATTGGTGGCAGGTGACGCACTTGGGTGCGATCAACTGGTGGTGAGTCATAAGTTGTTTATCACTTCAGGTACGACATTATTTCAGAGAGCGGCGCTGGTCGGCGCGATCTGTCGTTGCTGAATGGCCTGGTTGAGTACTTTATGTTGCCTTATTTGGCAGCAGCACATGAAGAGGTGTTTTACCACCGAATAACTATGCAGCCAGTGGACGCGGTGTGTGGTTCTAATCAGCCTCGTTATGTTCCGTATGCTATGCTTGAATAGAACCACTTAGTATTTTCATCGACATCTTTGATTACGAACCTATCACAGGTCTCATAGGATCAAAACGTATCAGTTGACAGCTGATACTGGGCAGTGGAAATAGGCTATTACTATTGAAATATATGGAGACGTCTTTGACGTGCTGTAAGGATTTTTCTACGACTGAAACTAACATCTTTTTTTGGTGATAAATGGATATCGGAATGCTGTCTCACAAGGTGTCTTCCACATGCTGCTCTGTCGCTTATATTGTAGGCAAGAAGGTGCACCTCTGAATAGACAGCAGTGATCCAACGCTATGGAATTTCTATTGTAACAAAAGTAGATCTCAGCATTGTGGTGCCCGTTTCTAATTACAAAGGTGAGGAGGAGGGCGGAAGTTAAAATGGCCCTATGTCAAAAATGTACCAGAGATGTTACCCTCCTGCCTTACCTCAGTAGACCACGTGCCATGCTTTCCAAAATTGCATGCATCAACCGATGGTTTCCCACTGACAGAGCAAAAATGCTGGATGTTTCAAGTCTTCTCAGTTCATTACATTAGCACAGGCACCATCGAATTGCATTGTTTACATTGGCACAGGCACCATCGAATTACATCATGTACATTAGCACAGGCACCATCGAATAACATTACGTACATTAGCACAGGCACCATCGAATAACATTATGTGCATTAGCACAGGCACCATCTAATTACATTATGTCCATTAGCACAGGCACCATCGAATGCGCCACAATCGCTGCAATGCCTGACCCGTACTCGAAAACCAGGCGCAGGCTCTTCAGCACGCCATGCTGTCACGACATTCAATACGACATACTGACACAACACTCAGCACGACACACTGAAACAACATATAGCACGACATACTGACACGACATTCAGCACGACATACTGACGCGACATTCAGCACGACATACTGCCACGACATTCAGCACGACATACTGACACGACATTCAGCACGACATACTGACGCAAACATTCAGCACGACATACTGACACGACATTCAGCACGACATACTGACGCAACATTCAGCACGACCATACTGGCACGACATTCAGCACGACATACTGACGCAACATTCAGCACGACATACTGACACGACATTCAGTACGACATACTGACGCAGCATTCAGCACGACATACCGACACAACATTCAGCAAGACATACTGAACAACATTCAGACACGACATACTGCCCGGACATTCAAGAAAGCAGTCGCATTGTAAAGACACCGATTGACTGACATTCAACCCATTCCAGTGTCATGCCAAAACGCTACGAGCAGGTTAGGAGCGTGCTTTGTGTTGCCTACAGAGCTGGACCAAACCCTATCACATTCATGCGTTGGTTATGCTGGTCGGTTTACTGCAAGCACACCAGCTAAATGCAAGACTGTTGCTGGCTGGGCTGGGCCGGGGACGGTTGTCAAGACTGTTGCTGGCTGGGCCCGGGGACGGTTGTCAAGACTGTTGCTGGCTGGCCCGGGGACGGCTGTCAAGACTGTTGCTGGCTG